CCTAAGCCAGCAGGTAGACATCCCCCGAGGGGTCCCAGGCTGCGAGAGGGCACAGGCTGGGCTGAGAGACCCCCTGAGTGCACATTTTTGTGCACCGGGCCTCTAGTTTAAAAATAAACATTGACTCGCACATGCACAATACATATAAAGCTCTCACTGGTGCCAACTGCACAAGTGTTGTAATTTTATAATACTATATTAAATATACTATTTTGATATGTAATTTTTTGCAGTAATGTAATTACCACAAAAATCTTTCTTCTAATTAATTTCCTTTCAATGTGCAGCATGAATCCGTGCACCAGGCTGCAGGTATGCACATGTGCATAGCTCATGGACACAGACAACAGTGTGGTGAAGGCCTCGAGTGGGGCAGTAGCTGGGTGGAGGGGGACAAAAGGGAAGAAAATGGGGGACATCGGTAATACTCTCAACAATAAAAATAAGTTAAATATATATAATTGATGTATATTTTTATATATTTTCAAAATTCACCAAAAATTGGAAATCTATTGTTTCTTTCATATTCAATTTCTTTTGTCAGAAATTCTTTACTTATCCTGTCAATTTTATCTCGAGAGAATAGATTGGCTTTAGGAATAAAAAAATTCTCAAGATTTTCTGACTTGAGGCAATGAAGAAAGTATTCCAGACATCTATCAAAGCAGAACTCCAGGTTGTCTCGCCACTGACTGTCATCTGGGTTCTGGGCACATACGTGAAAGAAGGCAGTTTTCACGTGGTAAGAACAGAATTTACCCAATTCCTTTCGGTCTTCAAACTTTTCTTTCAATTTTTCTAAAAGATATTTCATTAGTTGTAAACAACGTTTCCTGTTCAATAAAAAAGAAAACCATTTATTTTTACTTATTTACAACCTGCTTCATTCCACAAAGAGCTTTAGGCATCTTACAAGAAGATACAATAAACAATACAGATATTATAATACATATAAAGACACAAAGATAAAGTATGTAAATATAATTCTAGTCACTCTATTTTTTCAAATATATGCTTTGAAGTTTCAAAAACATATTTTTTCTTCCTGCTTCACCATTCCTAGCTGAAATATTTTATTGTCTCAGCATTAATTCAACTATAAAACTAGCAGATATTTGTATTATTCATCCAATGACTTGATAGACTATAAATATTTACATTATTCATCCAATTATTTCGTAGTTGACAAAATTTAATGTTTTTAAAAATACTTAGCTTTATCAGCAATATCAGCAATATATTTTTCTCAACATTGGTTTCAAAGCCTGTACATGAAGCTTTAAAGAACCTCCTGGGCCCACATGTTGGACATTCTTGTTTTGACCTTTTAACTTTTGTGACCCTTATACTGGGCAACTTTAGAAACTCAAATGAACAATTCTTTTCCAATCTCACTTTAAAAAAAATATATATTTGTTTTATTGAATTCAGAAAGGAAGGGAGAGGGAGAGATAGAAACATCAATGATGAGAGAGAATCACTGATCGGCTGCCTCCTGCACGCCCCCTACTGGGGATCAAGCGTGCAACCGGGCATGTGCCCTCAACTGGAATCAAACCCAGGACCCTTCAATTGGCAGGCTGACGTTCTAGCCACTAAGCCAAACCAGCTAAGGCCTCACTTTTTTATGGTGTGTATGCTACCAAGAAAAAGAATTACCCATTTTTAGTTGTTTCAAATTTAGCCAGTCAGTCCTGGCTTTCAACGCAGCCAAACCATCTCAAAGCAGCACCAGTACCAAAAGATTTGGGCTCAGTGGAGGATAGAGCGTTGGCCTGCGGACTCAAGGGTCCCAGGTTCGATTCTGGTCAAGGGCATGTACCTTGGTTGCAGGCACATCCCGGGTAGGAGGTGTGCAGGAGGCAGCTGATCGATGTTTCTCTCTCATCGATGTTTCTAACTCTATCTCTCTCCCTTCCTCTCTGTAAAAAATCAATAAAATACATTAAAAAAAAAAGATTGATCCTCTGGCACCTTCCCATTATGTGACATTAATATTCATTACCTTGAAGCAACCAGAATACTAAGACACAACCAGTGGCTAATGGCTAATCATGGCTAGTGTCCTTTCTGTCCTACTTCTTGTTCTGTCCTACCTTATACATCCATCTGATCCAGGTTCAGGACTATGGTCCCTGGCCTTGCCTTCTGACAACACTCTTCCCTTGGTCCCTTGGATCTGGCTTCCCTAGTTTCATGCTCACCCTCTAGGTAATATTCCAGGTCAGCCCAGCCATGTGCTGCCCCTAGGACTCAACCCAGTAATGACCATCTTTAGGTCTGATCTATGGAGTCCATTAAAATAATAAACATTCCACCATAGATAAGCCCCTAATTAACAAAATAAGAAAGTTACCTGTAACATTTCACTCCATTACTTTCACAGCATGTTTTTTCTTTTCCATGATTTTTCAAAATGTCCTTTTCAATGTGAGAGAAGGATAGCCGCCATGTTTCTTCTTAATTTCCAAAAGAAAAATAAAGAAGTAATTTACCCAAAGTGCCTACATATAAACAATACAATATTGAAACGATTTCCTTCATTAAACTATCATTCTGAAAAATTTCTAGGGAGATATAGACCCAAAGAAATGAACATATGATGTAATTACATATTAAAAGAAGTCATTTGAAGCAAACAATGGACCAAAATAGGAAAACATTGGAGTGTTAGGGATGGAGCAGGTTGCTTACTATAGTTAGCCATGTAAGCTGTACATATTGCTAAATTCAGTTTGTTAATATATTGTTTCAATAACAATTTGAATTAATTGATTAAAAAAATTGTATACCATTCTTACAAGTTTGGTATTCATGTAAAATGAATTAGGGAACATTTCTATTCCCTGCAAGAGTTTAATTAAGAATAGATTTCTCCCCTTCCCGCAAGTTTTAGCACGGCTAGCTCTTTTAAGTTTTGGCTATCCTATTATATAGTTGGTTTTATACCAGGAATGCATGATTGGTTTATAATTTAAAAATCAATCAATATAATCTGTCACATTAACAGAATTGAGGAGAAACATGTTATCAAAAAACCCAGAATATGCGGGTAATGAAATTTAACATTCATTCATCAGTTTTTGAAAAAATGTTTTTATTGATTTCAGAGAGGCAGGGAGAGGGAGAGAGAAATATCAATGATGAGAGAGAATCATTGATTGGCTGCCTCCTGCAGGCCAAGGGGATCGAGTCTGCAACCCAGGCATGTGCCCTTGACCAGAATCAAACCTGCGACCCTTCAATCTGCAGGTCAACACTCTATCCACTGAGCCAAACCGGCCATGGCTGATTCATCATTTTTTTTAAAAGCCTCAGCAATTTAAATTTGGCTGTCAACTTGATCTGATGAAAGACAGATTTTAAAAAGGACACAGCAACATGATAATATAAGGTAAAAAGCTTAGGTTTTTCCCTTGAAATTAGTTAGGCAAATGTCTGCTATCCCTATTTCTGTTCAACATGCACTGGCTATCCTAGCAAGCATATAAGGGGTCTGGCACTGGAAAGAGAGGAACAAAGCTATCATTACTGATAGATAATACAACTATGTAGGAAGAAAATAGAAAAGAAGCTAGGTGACAGATATGTATGAGTTTAGTAAATTCTTCATTCTACTTTTCTATTGGTTTTAAAATTTTCAGACTAAAAACTTACAATTGCCTATGAGTAAATCTAACAAAAGATATATAAAACTTCTGTGGAGAAAACTCTACAATGTCACTAAGAAGTATTAGAGGAAATCTAAATAAATGGAGATATGCACTTATCCATGAATTGGAAAACTCATTATAAATATATCAAGTCTTCCAAATTTTATCTATGGATTCAATGTACTCTCAATCAATATTCAAAAAAATGCTTTGGTAGAACTTGACAAGATGATATGAAAATTTTCATGAAAATACAAGGGGTCAAGAATATCTAAAACACTCATGAAGAAGGACAAAGTGGGAGAACTTACCCTACCAAATATCAAGACTTATAAAGACACATTATGTATGACAATATAGTATAGTGCAAGGGTAGACAAAGATTTTAGTGGAACAGAATAAAGAGTGTAGTAATAGCTATATAATATATGGACAGTGGATATGTGGAAAAGGTGGTACTGAGCTAGGTATGCTCATTGCTATATAAATCCATTTATGACAGCCATTTATGCCATTCTGGAAAAGGCAAAACAATAGAGATGGTAAACTATAGAGATTAGTGGTTGCCAGAAGTTTGGAATGGGAAGGGTTGAATAAGTGAAGAAGAGGGGACATTTTAGAGCAGTGAAACTATTATTAAGGGTAGAAACATGATACAATGCATTTGTCAAAACCAGTAGAATTTTATAGCACAAAGAGTGAATCTTAATATATGTAAACTGTTAAAAAATCATTTAGGAGGTCAAGGGATCCTAGAAATAATGCAGACTGTGAAAAAGGACTCCAGCTGCATTACAAATGTGTAAAACAACCTTTCTGAAAGGGGGGGAGCAAAAGGTGTGGACCAGTTTCAAAAACATAGGCCAGATTATTATGACCGGCCAGATTATTATGACCACCCCACCAGTACAATGAAGTGAATTAGTTATGCAAATAATAATAATAATAAAACCTTGAGAGTATTTGCTTAGGAAGTTTTCAATATTCAGTATTTTTGGAAGTGTCAATGAAGTACTGATGGGGTGGTCATAATAATCCGGCCGGTCATAATAATTTGGCCACTCAGTGTACTTTGGAAATGGGGTATATAAGACTGAAGGCAAAAGAAACTGTACATTAGCTCTGTACTCTAGTTGGTAACTGTTTCCCATAGAGGAGTGGCTTTGCAATTGTGAAATAACTATATTAGTATGTGCACACTAGAACTATACAATTAAGCATATCGGTGGCAGGTTTTTCACTGTTGGAATGAGAGGCTACAGATAGCAAGGAAAGAAAGAATGATCCAGGTGATAATGGATTATAATTAGAAACAGTATAAACTCATGAATAACTTAACATATACAACAGGTAGTTACATATAAAAATATCTTATGTAATAAAAGGCAAATATGCAAATTGTCCCATTGACCACCAGGAGTTCGACTGGGAGTTCGACCAGGGGATGGGGCAGGCTGGCCTGACCCCACCCAAGCATGAATTCGTGCACCGGGCCTCTAGTTTATAGATATGTGTATATACCAGGGTTAGTACACGTACTTACCTATATTCCCTTGTTTCTCCAGCTGGGAGGGTGACACCCTCATAAAAGAGCACACATACACATAGCACCTACATTGTGGTTTCTAGTACATTTTCCAATAAAAGAAACCAAAGCTCCTTTGAGAAATGGCGGCTTCTAGGACTGATACATGAAATATACCAGATGAGCCTAGAACACCTTGTAGAGCCAGAAAGTGAGTTAGTGATGAAGACAAACAAAATCCCCACAATTATGGGAGATGTCCAAAGGACACAGAACCAACTCAAAGAGCTCCTAAAGCCAAAGCTGGAAAAAATGAAGCAATAAGATTAATAAAGTGTTATTGGATTACAGCCCAAATCTCCCATGCAGAAGAATTCCAAAAAATCTGAGTAAATACTCTGCTCTTGCCCAGCTGGCGTGGCTCAGTGGTTGAGCTTCCACCTATGAACCAGAAGGTCATTGTTTGATTCCCAGTCAGGGCACATGCCCTGATTGCAAGCTCTATCCCCAGTGAGGGGCGTGCAGGAGACAGCCGATCAATGATTCTGACTCATTATTAATGTTTCTGTCTCCCTCTCCCTCTCCCTTCCTCTCTGAAATCAATAAAAAAAATTTTAAAAAATACACTGCTCTTAAAGAGGTGGCATAACTCCCCACTCCTTAAGTGTGAGCTGTGCACAGTGACCTCCTTCCAAATAGTACAGTATGAAAAGGGGGAAATGAGTAACAGTGGAGAAATTGACAAGTACTACCTCAGCCAGGTGATCAAGGTCAACATCAGCAGTGCTAGGTCATGTTCATGGCATGTATCCTTAAAATGATGCAACGAAATGAATAAACATCTTTCATATTACAATTCAAGCTAGGGCTACCGCCCTATGGTATAAGAAAACTTCTTTTTACGAAAGAGAAGGATATATCAAAGTATTGGATTCAGGGAAACCTCTTAAAAATTAATCCACTGGCCCTGACTGGTTTGGCTCAGTGGATGGAGCGTCGGCCTGTGGACTCAAGGGTCCCAGGTTCGATTCTGGTCAAGGGCATGTACCTTGGTTGCGGGCACATCCCCAGTAGGAGGTGTGCAGGAGGCAGCTGATTGTTGTTTCTTACTATCCCTCTCCCTTCCTCTCTGTAAAAAAAAAAATCAATAAAATTTAAATAAATAAATAAAAAGATAAAAAATTAAGGCCACTTATTTAAAAAAAGAAAAAAAAGAAAAACATCAGGTACATGCCAGATGAGGGACATTCTACAAAATAATTAACTAGTATTCCTCAAAACTGTCAAGGTCATCAAAAACAAGGGAAGGCTGAGAAACTGTTAAGGAGTCCTGGCTGGTGTGGCTCAGTTGTCAGAGTCTTGGCCTGCGTACCGAAGGGTCACAGGTTCAATTCCCGGTCAAGGACACGTACCTGGGTTAAAGGTTCAATCCCTGGCCCCAGTTAGGGTGCATGCGGGAGACAATCAATTGATGTGTCTCTCTCACATTGATCTCTCTCTCTCTCTCTCTCTCTCTCTCTCT